GTTTCATAGCAGATGAGCCACTTCCACTTTTTCCTTTTATCATAAAACTATCCATGCTCCCTTTTTTTTGTGAATCTTTATCATCGAAGCACTCTAGTTCATCATCATCTCTTGCATCCTCTAATATTTTTTTAAATATATCCCTTATCTCTTCCGGCACTTGTTGGCATGGAGCAACTTCTTTGTGTGTTCCAGCTAGATGGTGCTTCATTCTAAATGTTCCTCCCCACATTGTTTTGGGACAATAGTTACATTTAACATTCAACCTATTCGCAAGGGATTTACAATGATCCCAAGTTATATCCTTCTTTTTTTGGGATTTCTTCTTTGGAGCCATTTTTATTATTTTTATTACTGTAAAAGAGAGAAAAAAAAATCAAAGTTAAAAAATATTAGGTAAGTCCGTAGGTGTCTTCAGCTAATGACTAATAATACTCAATTGAATTTATTCACTATTTAAATGAAAAAGGAAATAGCACTTTCATAGGCAATAAACAATTACGAGAAACTGCTAAAAAAAGGCCTTGATCTTGGTTTTATAGGAAATTTGGCATTTTAGATAATCCAATAACATTGTTTGATCGGATGACCCACTGAGTGAAATAAAGCCTGGTTGTTCATATATATTTCATATCCATTCAATATCCAACAACAATTCAAATCAAGGACCAAGGCCAACTTCAGGGCTATAAAAAACATAGATGCCAATCAATACACACCTAGTCCAACCTGGTTTGAAATGTGTACGTGTCTTATAAATAGAAACAATAATCTATTTATAAGACACATCCTCTCATGCATTTTAAATTGAGAACAGCTTTTTCATAATATTATAATAATATATTAATATATGTATTCTCTGATCCTCCCATCACTATAATATTTAAATTTATTTACGATTTACAAATTCCAATCACAAATCCATTTCAAAAAAAAATAGTACCCGTCAACAACGAAACAAAAAAAATAGTACCCGTACGGCCGTTCTCCTCTACAAGTCTTCTTCTGCACGTTCTCCTCTGCAAGTAAGTCTTCTTCGTCTTCTTCTACACGCTCTTCTCCTCTGCAAGTCTTCTTCTACACATAGTTTTCCTCTGACATTTCTGTTTCGCTGCTTCGTTGTTTCGTTGCTTTTTCAATTTCTGAAATTTCTGTTTCACTCCTTTTGTTTTTTAAATGGGATTTTGATTCTTTGAATCCCTGATTTTTCTAAAGCAACCGGCTGTTCCAACTTCCTAGCGACTGTTGAGTTTTTTTTTATTTTTTTTTATTTTGAATCGCAAATGTAATTTCGATTCACGATTCAGTTGCGAATCGTTCGATTCTACGTTTCCAACCCACGATTCATACCAAAAACGATTCATTATTGCGATCTGTATCGATTTGGGTTAGTATCGTATCGTATCGCACGATACGTATCGCGTATCGTGCGATACTAACAACCATGCTGTGAGATGTAACATCCCGTGTATACCCGGTTTGTTAACATATCTTCGTATTAAGCTGCGCTTAATAAAAAAATGCGGAATATCTTTTTCTTTTCAATTATGACGTCATTATACTTAGCCAAGTTGATTACTTAATCATTTTCATAAAATATCGTCTGTATGTAAATTGCAAAAAGATATCTAACTGAAATATCTCATAATATAGATAAAGTGAGTATCTATGTCACGGATCTACTACACGTAGTCCGGACAATATCCTGATACATTAATACAACTCCACATAAAACAAGACAATAAACAAGTCTATGTGGCATGGACAATCCCCATGCTCACCAAATCAACAGCATAACCAACAGCGTCTCAACAAGATAATCCATAACATAAATAAAGCTAAAAGCATAATAGCAGCAAGCATATCCAGCATCCAACAAGTCAGCAAATAAAACCAGCAATATCTAACTCAGCTCCGGCCTCCTGCCGCCTGAGGTCTCAACCCCGACATTACCTGAACCTGAAATGGTGCCCCAAACGTGGGGTTAGATCTCTAAACAGAAATCTCAGTAAGACAAGGGGTCCTCAAGGATCTTCCACCCCAAGCTCACTTACATGTGCAATATAAGTTCCAAAAGCAGTAATTCAATATAAGTTCCAAAACTATGCAGTGCAACAAATATTCATGCCATGTGTGTTATAACTATTCTACTGGCCAGAGAAATGTAGTAATACGTCTATTACCCACAGTAAGTACAAGGAACATCGCTTGCACCTCACCCACAGCCTCACCATCTTGTATGTACCACATACTCAGGCTTACCATATAGGTGAAACACCACATGCATATCATAAAGGCACTCACATATAACAGTTCAATAGCATTTATCAAAACAATACATGAAAACAACATCATGCATATAACCATCCCCCCATGGGACATGGTGGAACCAACAATGGCTAAACCGAGGACACGAAAGCTTATCTGTACTCGTATGCCCTTCTGACTCGAACTCGGTATTAGAAGGGTCCGCACCCCAAATAGAATCCAATGCACTCACAGATCTAGTTCAATGAGCATCATAGTATCAATATACATATTCTAAAATTCCAAGGCAATAGGATATTATTTTCTTTTTCATTTCGAACCTGGAGGTCCTTTCTAAAACATATCATTTAACTTATTTAATTATAGATAATTATTATCTTATAAATATATATAGCCACAATAATATATATATTATATAAATATATATATATATCTATTATATATATATATATAACCAACGTTATATATATATAACCAATGTTATATATATATCAACGCACTAACATATATATATTATAAGAATACAATACACTGACTATTAAAATAAAGCATGCCTTTTCTTGTACCTCGGTTATATATATATATATATATATATATATATATAACTAAGTATACCTTTCGATTACCAGTAGCTTTCATATGCTTTCGTTATATATATATATATATATATATATCAAGTTGGACCAAAGCCTCATGACCGATTGCTACAACAGATTCAGACTTTTCAATTTAAAATCACGCAACTCGATGCAAACAGAAAAGGTAGCGCACAGTGTCCGAATATTTTGATAAATTAACGTGGGTTGTAAATCAACAGTATTATATAACAAGGTTTATAACCAAAATTATAGATTTACAAATGGATAGTTAAGTTTACCTTGATTCTTTTTAGAACAGAAAAATGAAAGCTTTAGGGGTTGAGAAAACACCCAAATCCTTCGACAATGGTTTCTCCTTCAACAAAACTAGAGCTTTAATGGATGAGTGGTGTTTCAATGGAGGAGGAAGGGAGAAAAATGAAAACTTTGGAGAAGAAAGCTAAGACTCCAATAAAACTCCCAAATGCTGCCACACTACTCCGCTGCTGAGTCTTTAATAAAACTTAGGGGGCGTTTGGTTGAGGAAAATTTTTATGAATGATAGGGAAATGATATTCATAGGAAAATGGTAGGAAATGATAGGAAAGTGAGTTTGGTAGGAAAATATAAAAAAAAGTTGTTTGGTAGGAAAAAATTGAACTAGGAAAATTAGGTAACTTTTATAAAGTCTATGTTTGGTTGTAGGTAAAATATAGATGGGAAAAAAAAAAAACAACCAACAAAATCCCAAATAGCCATGCAAATGGGGGGAATACCACATCTAGAGTGGGAATATTTGTCCATCAATTTTGATCCAAATAGCCATGCAAATGGGATACCTAGCAAACTCATTTAGGTGGGCAAATTTGAAAGCTTGTCAACCAAACATGTGCACCCAATTTCCCCACTTCACATTTCCCTATCATTCTCCTCAAAAACCTTCAACCAAACACCCCCTTAGGGTTTTACTCCCATTTTCTATTTATATTGTCACTTAAGTTAAACTAGCAGTATTAGTTTAATTAGTTCCGCTCTTCGTTTAACTCTAAAATTTTATATTCTTAACCTAGATATTTTTCTAGGAATTTTCATATATTTATTTTCTTTTTCGCAACACTTTTCCGGTACGCGTTTTTTCACGCTGACAGTATTAGTTCTGACACCAGTTCTCATTATTTTGACTTGAAACTCGTTTTACAAGTCCTATATATTATTCTAGTAATATTCGTGCACTTATTATAATTTTCCGGGATACTTCATCGGTACGCATTTATATCGACTAGCAGAACCGGTATCTGCACTTTTCTTCCGAAAAGCGACTTTCAGCTTTCTTACTCACTTTCTTACTCACTTACTATAATTATTAGACCCTCATAATAATTATTAGGGTCAATTATGGAATTATTTTCTAATTCTCATATTTAATTAATTAATTTCCTTAATTAACGGTGCGGGTTCTTACACGAGACATGGAAGGATTGTGTAAGGGTACAAATTCCCTTAATGTACGGTACTCTCTCCCCTTTTTAATCTCCTTCACCCCCTCCCGTGAGGCCCCTTGCAGGCATCTTTCCCCTGGACTAAAAAATAAATAAATAAATCACTATAAAAAGATTCTACAAATCTGCAGATTTAACCTCTTTAAGAATCCAAGAGCTAAAGTTGTTTTATACATGGAACTAACTTTAATCATAATGAATCAAGAAGTTGTGGGTCTTGTTTTTTAATTTCATTGCTTAATAACAGAATAGAAATGACTTCTTCCTATGGGATCTTCTCACTGAAATCCTGAGGTCTTCCGTTTAGCATGTGGTCATGGGAGAATCCCTTTCATAAAATCAACATTGTTGCAAGTAGCTGTTGATAGATTAATCCAGTCCTCTTCGACTTTCACTGCTGTTCTTATAGTTCTGGTTAGGAGTTGTTGTGCTCGATTTTTTCTGTTTTCTCCTCTCTCCTCTTCCTCCACTCTCCTGACCTATTTTTATATTGTTTTAAATGTGAATAAAGCTAATTATCAAGTAGTATCTTATAAAAGGTGTTACAGATATTTCTGGAAGATTGAAATTTCTATCAGTTCAAAAGGGCTTGTGTGTAATATTTTTGTCACATTTCTGGGTTGCATTATGCAGTTATTCTTGTTGATTTGATTAGGTGGAATATATCTTCTCTGACAAAACTGGGACTCTGACAAGAAACTTAATGGAGTTCTTTAAGTGTTCAATTGGAGGAGAGGTCTACGGAAATGGTGTGACTGAAATTGAGAAGGGAATAGCAGAGCGTAATGGCATAAAACTTGAGGTAATACACATGTTCATTGAATGGAAGTAGGCAAGAGGTCACGATTATAAAAGAATTATTCATTCTCTACAGGAAAATATCTCACCCAATGCAGTGCGAGAGAGGGGTTTCAATTTTGATGATGCTAGGCTTATGAGAGGAGCTTGGAGGAATGAGCCAAATCCTGATAGCTGCAAGGTAAATCATTTTGCTTGACTTGAATCAGTGGCAGCAATCTATTTATGCTTTCAAACTAACTTGCTTTTATGGTTTGTGGCATGAATCTAACAATTCCAAAATTTTACGTTGTTAAATGAAGAAACATGAATGATTTACTTTTGAGTAAAGTACCTTTTGGTTCCTCAACAAAAATCATGGACCCATTTTGATCCCTTAAAAAAAAAAAAGTCGACTTATGGTCCTTATGAAATTCAAAATAGACCTATATTAATCCTTTTTAGGGACTAACGTGGGTCTTTTTTGAATTTCAAAAGGACCACGGTTTTGACTAATTGGGTCTATTTTGAATTTTAGAAGGACCACAAATCGACTTTTTTTTCTAAGGTATTAAAATGGGCTCCGTGATTTTTGTTGAAGACCCAAAAGGTACTTTACTCTTTACTTTTGAGTTTGCATCTCTAAAATGGCCCCTCACGCAAATATTCTTTGGGCTTGAAGTATAGACGATGCACAGACCTACCTATTTTGTGTTGAAATTTTTTTTGTTAGAACTTAGAACAATGGAGGTGCCTAGGCGGTGAGGGTCGAAATCTAGATCACTTGGTCATTAAAAGCTCTAATACTATGTCATGAATCCACAATTGCAAAAGCTCAAGCTATTATGTGCTAGCACATGAATTGTTTTTATATTACATCTCTAATAGTTTGTAAATTTGATTCTTGCAGAGTAAAAAGGATCTTTGTCTTATATACATCTATGTACTTTGTTAATGTGTTTTGTTTGTTGTGGTAAATTAGTTGGCTTATATCCTTGCTTGCCTCTTATTACTGTACAAAAAGTTTTTGGTTTGAAAGATTGTCCAGAATATTTTTTATTTTTGTATAATATTTGATTATGTTCTCTATTCAGAGATGGTCAGACTGGTAAAGGGATTTTCGGGATCAGTTTGTTTTATTTTTTGTCTGTTATTAGGCAGGATACTTTTCTCCTTTATTCTTCCCTTTATTAGGAAGAATATTTTCCTTTTAACTCCTAAGATGGAGTCTTTATGTACTGATGTACCCTGGTTTAGAAATTGAATTATGTTAGAGAATAGTATAAACTATTAAAAAGGTCCTCACCCAATAACTTAAGCTTTTGGGTTGAATTGGTTCTTTACATGGTATCAGAGCCTCGGTGTCACGGGTTTGATTCTTACCGCCCCCTATTTAATTCATAACTAATTAAGTCTTGTGGAGTTTCTTAGTACAGGTAGGTGGACCTGTGCATTGCCCACCCTTCAAGTCCAGTGGGCTTTCGTGTGAGGGTGTGTGTTAGAGATATATATAAAACCATTAATGTAGCCTCACCCACCAGTTTAAGCTTTTGGGTTGAATTGGTTCTTTACATGGTACCAGAGCCTTGGTGTCACGGGTTCGATTCTTACCGCCCCCATTTAATTCATAATTAATTAAGTCTTGTAGAGTTTCTTAACACAGGTAGGTGGGCTTGTGCATTGTCCACTCTTCAAGCCCAGTTGACTCTCGTGTGAGGGTGTGTTAGAGAATAGTATAAATCATTAAAAAGCCCCTCACCCAATAACTTAAGCTTTTGAATTGAATTGGTTCTTTACAAATTCAACCATTTCTCTGTTTATACATATGTTCTTAGAAACTAACCAGATTTATCAACTGTCACCATATGTTGTGAGTTCAATGCAAGACTTGTATGGCTGGGCTGCATGCTTAGAAATCTGCAGTTTCTTAGAAATTTGTGTTGGGTTTGGCATTTGAGATTTTGATAACTCCATAATGTATTCTTGATGCTAGCACTTATGTAGCTTTATTTTTTATTGGTGCGCAATTTCAGTGCCAATATTTTCATTAAGCACTGTGCAACCTCTGTGATTTCTCTACATGAAAAATTTTTATTATATGGTTTTCACTGAGAAATTGATCTATATATTAGCACTTCATGATAAAATTCACTTGTCAGTTATATAATGTAGGATGTTATTTGTGCTGCAATTATTATGGGTGTCAATAATCCTTTGGTTTTGTAATTTTTTTTTTTAATTGGTAAAAGAAGGAATATCAATGACCTGCTTGATTTGTAATATTCAAGTCTTTGTTCATTTGCAACTAAGTTTTAAGTACTGTTGTGTTGACACACCCTAGATGGGGGGCCATCAAGAATTTTATTAATTACTGGAAGAGAAGTTGATTTATGTTATTTAAACTTGTTTTTCTTTTGCTGAAGCTTGTCTTTTTTTTTAATTAAGCACTTAAGCTGCTTTCTTTCAATTTGCTTATGCAATGAATTCAGTGGGTCCAATATTGTACTATGGTAAAGTTTGTTATATAACACAAAGTAACATTCTGTAATTGGCTGTACAGGAATTCTTCAGATGCCTTGCTATATGCCATACTGTGCTTCCCGAGGGCGATGAGGCCCCTGAGAAGATCAGATATCAAGCTGCATCACCTGACGAGGCTGCTTTGGTTATTGCTGCGAAGCACTTTGGTTTTTTCTTTTACAGGTTCAGACTTCTTGACTATTTTCTTGTTTTTTGCATACTGTTGTGTCATTTTGCCTTACCTTTGTTGCACAAAAAAATGGGTAATCTGTATTACTATGTAATAATGATCTGTCATTTTCGGTTTCCACCTTTAATTGGATGTAGATCCTCTGTCCAAGTTTTCTATCCCCACTCTCCCATGAATAATTGGTTGTAATGCTCCTCAGTTATCCGTTCACATGACTAATGCAAATTTTATATTAAATCCAAATGCATCTTCAGCTGTAGACTTTAGAGTCCATCTTCCTTGCAGAAATGTCAGGAAAGTTATATGCGATCACTTGTTCTTCATGTAAGACATTTGAATGAAATGAAATCTCATTACTTATACTCACTTAAGTGATGAATTTTCAAAATCAGAATTCAAATTCCTGCTGGCTGCTTATGAGCCAGTAGAAAGATAAATTAGAGAGAGAGAGAGAGACACAATTAAGGCTGCTGGCTATCTTATGGTTTCTTGGTCTTGGGTGAAAATTGTGAGATCAACAATTAATTTATTGATGGTTGAAACTGCAACAACTAAGATGGTACGAAGCAAACATTGTTCACTGGGAAAAATGAGTAACAGGAAGATTTGTTGATTCTGGCTTTTTACCTTGATATATTCAGGGAATTTGAGTGCTACTCCTTCAAATGATCATATTAGATTCTTCCTTGTCAAACATATATATCTGTGCTACCACTTCAAATGACCGAGAAAAGAATTGTTTCATGACTGAGTATATTGAGCAGAGAAGATATGTGGGCACACGGCACACATGATACACCAGACAGGAAAAGAGACAGTCGGGACAGAGTATCTGCATTAATTTAACATCAACGTTAACATCAACTATACCTTTATCCCAAATTAATTGGGGTCGGTGGTAGATGAATCCAAATAAAAGATACAAAAAGGTTGAAAAAAGATAAAAAAAAGTAAAAATAAAAAAGTAATATATATATATATAAAAGTAATAAGTATCTGCATTAATTGGAAAAAAAAATTCTAAAAATGTCCTGGTAAAAGTAAAAGTTTCTTGAGCTTCCTCGAACTTGTCTTGCTGGTTTTCATAACTATTTACTTTCTTTATCTTTTAAATTTTAAATCTAAAAAATCATAGGATTTAGACTGATCGACAGGTGGAATAAAAGGGAAACCACCTTATTGAAAAAGGTTTTCAGTATATTGATTTTTAATAATTACATGAGGAATGAGGAGTATTTATACAAGGAAAAATAGCTAAGCATGACTAAGCTATGACTCACCAAACCTAATCACAATCATAAGAATGACTCAGCTATGACTCACTAAACCTAATCACAATTAATTCTAATCAATTACAATTAATCCTAATTAATAGGAAATAAAAAAACAATCAATCCTAATTAATCTTAATTATTCCTAATTAATAGGAAATAAAAACGGAAAAATATTTGAATTTGAATTCTGATTTTCTACACTCCCCCTCAAGTTGGGAGGTAAATGTTGATCATTCCCAACTTGCCAATCAAGTCTTCAAAGGCTGGCCGGTGTAGGCCCTTAGTGAGAATATCTGCAATCTGCTCTTTGGTAAGAATATACACCATACATACACTTCCATCATCTATTTTTTCTTTGATAAAGTGGCGATCAACCTCCACATGTTTTGTTCTGTCATGGTGAACTGGATTTTGAGCAATACTAACAGCAACCTTATTATCACAATACACTCTGACAGGTAGGGAAAAAGAGATATTCAATTCCTCAAGGAGTCTTCTTGACCAAATTCCTTCACAAATACCATGGGCTAGAACCCGAAATTCTGCTTCTGCACTGCTCCGGGCAACAACTGTTTGTTTCTTACTTCTCCAAGTCACAAGATTTTCGCAAATATAGGTGCAATATCCTGAAGTGGATCTTCGGTCCAATGCAGAGCCAACCCAATCTGCATCTGTATATATTTCAATCATCCTCTTGTGTCCCCTTTTAAAGAACAATCCTCGTCCAGGGGTGTTTTTGAGGTACTTCAGAATTCTATAAACTGCACTCAGGTGTTTTTCCTTAGGAGAATGCATGAATTGACTAACCATGCTAACTGCAAATGCAATATCAGGCCGAGTGTGAGATAAGTAGATCAACTTCCCCACCAATCTCTGATACTGCTCTTTGTCAACTTCTTTCCCATCTTCGATTCCCAATTTAATATTGGGTTCAACTGGAGTCTCTGCTGGCTTGCACCCAAGCATTCCTGTTTCTTGTAACAGGTCTAGAATATATTTCTTCTGAGTTAAAGAAATTCCTGCCTTACTTCGAACAACTTCCATGCCTAGGAAATATTTGAGAGATCCAAGATCCTTCAGTTCAAACTGATTAGCTAAACATTTCTTCAAAGAGCTTATCTCCTCACAATCATTACCTGTGACAATTATGTCATCAACATAAACAATGAGAATAGCAATTTTACCACCATTAGAGTGTTTTAAAAATAAAGTGTGATCAGTCTGAGCTTGGAGGAATCCTCTTCCCTTAACAGCTTGAGTAAACTTCTCAAACCACTCTCTAGGAGATTGTTTAAGACCATAGAGAGACTTTTTCAACTTGCACAATGAATCGTCTCCTTTTTCAAAACCAGGTGGTAGATTCATATAAACTTCTTCATGTAGATCACCATTTAAGAAAGCATTCTTTACATCTAATTGTTGCAAGGGCCAACCAAGATTTGCAGCAAGTGATAAAAAAACTCGGATAATGTTAAGCTTGGCAACAGGGGAAAATGTCTCTTGATAGTCTATCCCATGAGTTTGAGTGAATCCCTTAGCAACCAGTCTGGCCTTATACTTGTTGATGTTGTTATCTGCATTAAACTTTATTGTGAACACCCACTTGCAACCTACTGTTTTCTTTCCTCTGGGTAATGCTACAGACTCCCAAGTTCCATTTTTGTTGAGTGCATCCATTTCTTCAAAGACTGCATTCCTCCATTTTGGATCATCAAGTGCTTCTTGGATATTTTTTGGTATTTTTGTACTGTCTAACATAGTGTTGAAAGCACGAAAACCTGGGGACAACTTTTCATATGTGATATGATGAGAAATAGGATGAGCAGTACAAGATCTAGTACCTTTTCGGAGAGCAATAGGCACATCTAGGTTGGCTGTATCAGTGTTGCTGGAACTAAGACTCGAGTCAGAATCCTGGCAGTCTAGAGGCTCCTGAGGTGATTCTCGCCTGCTGTAAAACTTTCCCCATTTCCCGGGAGGATCTCCATTATCTGACACATTAACTCCCCCTGTCTTTTTCATAATGACTCCCCCTGTCTCCAACGGCAAAGGCAAAACAACAGAATCATTTGGTTTCCAAGACTTATCTTCATCAACCCCAATAGACTCCCCCTGAAGAGAAGTCGAAGGAAAAAAAGATTGTCTCTCATCAAATGTGACATCCATAGAAACAAAGACCTTACGAAGTGAAGATGAGTAACACTTGTAGCCCTTTTGGTTAGGAGGATATCCTATGAAGACACATTTAATGGACTTAGGATCGAGCTTGGACCTTTGATGGGAAGGAACATGTACAAAAGCCACACAGCCAAACAACTTGGGAGGAAGGGAAGAATGAGCCCGAAAAGAAGGAAAGGTGTGGGTAAGACAAGATAAAGGAGATTGAAAATTTAGGACACGAGAAGGCATCCGATTGATGAGGTATGCTGCAGTCAAGACAGCTTCCCCCCACAAATATTTAGGGACATGCATGGTAAACATAAGAGCTCGAGCAACTTCAAGGAGATGTCTATTTTTTCTTTCAGCCACCCCATTTTGTTGAGGGGTGTTAGGACAAGAACTTTGATGAAGAATACCATGCTGGCTGAGATAGTTTCCAAGAACAGAATTA